TGTGTTTTTTTATAAGGTGTTGAGGTATTCTGCACTCGGTGATTTGTGAATTAGTATTTAAACGTTGTGTTAATTAAAATATTTTGTACAATTTTTTTAAATCTTTATTAATTTTGTAAACGTTTCTACATTATTATTTTTTTATACGACTCGAATGGTTTGAGATGTAATTATTCGGTTTAATCCATATTTTTATATATTTTATTTATATATATATATAAATATATATTTGTAAATCTGATTTTGATGTACCTTTTGTTAGTTTTTATATGTTTTTAATTTATATTTTGACGATGTAAATTTTTAAAATAATTTATTTTTTGTGTCATTTTTAAATCCCATTGCTGTTGTTATTTTTTTGCATTTTTTGACCCAATTAAAAAATAATTGCTTTATTAAACATTTTTATAAAATTATTTAAAAAGCCCATAAGGCTCGTTCAATCAAAAGAAAATTAAAACTATTGAATAATATTAAATATTTATACAAATAAATATATAATATTATTCAACTATTATTAATTATTATTAAAAACTATTATTCAATTATTAAAAACATAATAAAAAGCTCTAAAATCTTTAAAAACCTTCCATTACAAGGTATTACGAAAAAATATCTTTAAATAATAGAAGAGAGCAAAAAGTGGAGGGGGGAGCATGGTGGATCCTTGCCACAGCCCTGATATATACTGTAATTCATTATATGCTGTTGTCACTTAAATCTTCCATATTTCAAATGCATTAAGTAAAGTTTTTCTTCCTCTTCATTTTCTTCTTGTGGAATATCAGTATTATTGTTAGTGCATGTTGCGCCATATACTCTATACAAGATGATGTACAGTTTTATCCAGCTTTTTGACAAGAGCATTTTTATTTTTTTATTTTCACATCGACCTTTACAGCCTTACATCTACTAATACAGGGTTGCCACTAAATCAGGGAAATTTAGATATGATCAGGAGAAATCAGGGGAAAAAAGATTGATTTAGTCAAAAGACAGGGAAAATCAGGGAATTTTTAAATTTTGTATTATTTTATTTGAATGTTATTGTTAATGTTATTGTAAATAATATTTTTAGTTAAGTAATTATACAGCTCAAAAGGTTGTTCAAATATTTTATATTTGATCATTATTAAAAAAATTAACTTTAATTATGATCATTTACTGTATTAACCAAATAAAATGTTTATGTAAAACATTTTATGTAGGTTTAAGTGGAACCATTATTAATAATTTAAATGAATTTATTAGGTGCTTTTTTGTGTAGAAATAGCTGCAACATGCGAAAACTTTCAAAGTTTCTTTAAACCATACTGTATTTTTATTCTCTTTTTTTATATAAAAACATTTTAAATTTGTAAATAACAAATTTTAATGTAGAATGCTTGAGTGATCCATTGTTTAAAAAATAGCTAGTAAATGGCACAGTTAAAAAGTCAGTCAAGTGCTTTAACTTCATCTAAATGTTTTCTGTTTTTTTTTTTTTTTTTTAAATATCTTCGCTTCCAACAAGGCTGCAAGCAACCACTAATTAGTGTTGAAAGTTACTGGAAGAGAAAAGATGGAGATTTTAGAGTAAGATAACAACAGACGGTTGTTGACAAATTAAATGAATCAGGAAAGCAAGATGAAGGAAGCGAATTCTAAAGAACTGATGTTCGAGGAAAAAAACTAGACAAATAAGAGTTTTTGGAGCACTTAAGAACAGTAACAGAAAAAGGATGAGATTTAATTAATGAGTGACACGAAAATAAAATTTAGTAGATGGTACAAGAGATGCTACCCTCATTAGAACAGTGCCCATTTTAGTATATATATATAAAAAAAAAAAGAAGCAACATTACGACAATGTTATAATTGTTGGAGGTTGGGTGTAAGTGCAGATCCAACTATGTTTACAATTCTTTTTTGTACCTTGTCTAAGAGAGAAAGGGCATCATTAGAAGATCCACCCCAGATATGGCAAAAGTATTCCATATCGGGTGGACACGGAAAAATCTGGTCATCTTTAAATTAAGATTTCTTCAAAACCACAAATGCTTTTTATTTATTTATTTTTTTTTAATTAAACCTTACTTCCTTATGGTGTTAATAAATTTTTGTTTACAAATTAATGATTTGCAAAATGTTTTGGAAACAAGTTGAGGTGCGTAAAAAAGTTGTGAATTTTTTTTGCAAAAATCCATCGACTTCCTATCGCTTGATTGCTAAACGCACAAATGTCCCAAAATCTACAGTCATAGATATAAACAAGTTCAAGACTACTCAAAGCTTCGAAAGAAAACTTGGAAGTGGAAGAAAAAAAACTTTCCTTAAATCCAAAAAGGTAAATTCAATTTTACGTTCAATAGCAAGAAAACCAAATCAATCACAACGAGATCTAACAAGAAAATTTAAGACTTCTCGTTCTTATATCAAAAAAGTACTTAAAAATGCTGGAATTAAAGCATTTCATAAAAAAATACACCTAAGAGAAGCTTTAATTGTGAAATTAAAGGAATTCGACGCGCAAAGAAGTTGGTTAAAATAATGGCGGATAAAAATATGTGCATAATTGAAGACGACGAAACGTATTGCAAGGCGGATTTTTCACAACTTCCTGGTTAACAGTTTTACTATGAAAACAAAGATAAACCTGTCGATGATCAATTTAAACATATTCGACGAGAAAAATTTGCATCCAAATTCCTTGTGTGGCAAGCAATTTGTAGCTGTGATATGCAGTCCTCTTGTTTTGTCACTAAAAGACCTTGACTGCCAATCTCTACATCAAAGAATGCCTCCAAAAAAGACTTTTGCCTTTTATAAAAAAACACAAATACCGACGTCTCTTTTGGCCCGATCTTGCTGCCTCTCACTATTTTAAAAAAGTTTTACAGTGGTGCAAAGATAATAATGTGAAAATTGTTCCTAAAGATGCGAATCCTCCAAATCGTCCTGAAGAGCGCAAGATTGAAGATTTTTGGGCAATAGTTAAAGGAGTTCTTCGTAAGACAGGTGGACTAACAAATAATAAATAGGACTTCCAAAAAAAGTGGATTAATGCCACCAATATGGTGAAAAAAGAAAAAATTTGTAAAATGATGGCATCAACCCACTATAAAGTTCGATTTCTTGCCAAGCAACCCATCAAGCCCCTTAAAATTAAGTTGAAACTCTAATTTATGTAAACACATTTAATAATAAAAAAATTGAAATAAAAAGCATTTATGGTTTTAGAGAAATCTCAATTAAAAGTTGACCGGATTTTTCCGTGTCCACCCGATACAAGAAGGGATTTAAGATTTATAAAGATAAAAACTAGAATCTAGAGTAAGAAAGTGGCGAGCACGATAAAGAGATGCAACTTTAGCAGATGCTAATTTTGCAATTGATATGATATATGGTTTCCAAGAAAGATCAGAAGTAAGACTTAATCCTAGAAGATAAAGTACATTACCGTTCATAAATATAGGAAGGTCTAAATTATTGCGAAACGATTGGCTGAAAAAAATTGCGTTTTATCTGAATTAAAGTTCACCAACCACTGTAAGCCCCATGCTGTAGCAGAAGTGAGATTCTTTTCAAGCTCAAATGTCCCCTGCAAGCAATCAGAGGGAGTTGGCTTCTTATCGTGAAAAGAATAAATGGTAGTATCAGCGAACAATGACATCTTAGATGTGAGAATATCTGGAAGATTGTTAATGTAAATTAAAAAGAATATAGGGTGAAGAATAGAACCTTTAGGAATCCCTGAGGTTACAGAATAAGAAAAAGAGTGCTGTCCATCAAGGACAACTTTTATACTACTATTAGAAAGGAAGGATTCAGTAATCTTAAAGATGTTTCCAGATACACCGTAAGAAGAAAGCTTATGGAGAAAAGCAGCATGCTAAACTTTATTAAACGCTTTAGTATTATCAAGAGCGATGACCTTAACCTGTCCACCGTTATTTAATGCGCAATAAAACCTATCGGTTATTACTGTTAGCAAATCAGCCGTAGAATGAAAAGATCGAAATCCATATTGATGATCAGAAAGTAAGTTATTAGATTCAAGATGAGAGATTAAGTGTTTGTTAATTAAAGATTCAAAAACCTTGTTTATGAAGGGGAGAAGACTAATGGGACGGTAGTTCGACGAATCGGATCGCTCTCCAGAATTTTTAAAAATAAGGATAACAGATGCTGCTTTCCAGCAGGCTGGAAAGTTAGACTCTGATAAGCACTTGTTGAATAGTTTTGAAAGGATAGACGACAGCTCCGGTAAACACTTCTGCAAGACTAAAACAGGTATGTTGTCCGGGCCGCAAGCTGTGGAAGACTCTTAGCAGGAAATCACTTTAGATACAGAAGCTGAAGTGATACGGTTGTCGAGCAATGAATCAACCTGTTTGACGGCTATATCAGGTAAAACGCAACTAGTGGTATCAAGAGATGATATTGATAAAAAGTTCTTGGCAAACAATTCAGCTTTGTCTTTAGGTGAGGAGACAAAGTCTGAACCATACAAAAGAGGTGGAATTACAGACTTGCCCTTATTATTGATACTATTAAAGATTCTCCAGAAGTCACGAGAGCCTAATTTTTGTGATAAAATACGAGATTTCATGATCTGAGGCTATGGCGTTAGACAAAACCTTTTTACAATGGTTCCTAGCAGTAATAAACAGACGTCTGTTTTCTGGAGAATTGTTTTGCTGATAGATATGGAAGTAATGGTTTCGATTGGCAATTGCAGCAGCACAATGTGAGGAAAACCATGGAGAAGAGTGAGGCTTGACCTGGAATCGTTGAGAGGGAATAAAGGATTCCATGCCAGCCTGAATCCACGAAGTTATGTAAGAAGCACATTTGTCAACAGAAAGACAAAAGATTTCTACCCAAGGGTCATCACGAAAGACGAATTTCTACCCAAGGACCATCACGATAACTTCTACCCAAGGGCCATCACGAAAACGAAAGATTTTTACCCAAGGACCATCACAAAGAAAATCACGGAAAGAGTCCCAGTCACCTTA